TCGGGGATTTGTCGGATAAGACACACATTATGTAAGATTTAAAAAATTTATGATTGGTTAATATTGTAATTATCGCGATGATCTTTATATACACTTTAACCCCAGTTCTCTTCCGTCTTTCTTCTGCCACATTTTTCAATTTGTCCCTACTCACCAGTGATTTTTATACTTTCATTTTCCTTTTTTGGGTACTCCAACTATCTCCAGTAAGTATTTTAATTAAAAATTTTTTGATTAAAATATTTTCTTTAAATTAATCTTAATTATTCTTTAGGGGTCTGGGCTTTATTATGCAGGATTCGCTTGTGTTCTTGGTGGTCTTTTTATATACCACGTTAATCCTGCAGAAGAACCTAAGTTTGAACGTGAATATGATGAAGAAGAACTTGCTAATAATGTTAATGAAAAAGACTTGGAGTCATCTGTGCATACATAAAATATCTATTAATAATTTATATATGTTTTTTTGAGAATATTGTATTTAATTGTCAGGATAATTATTTTATCGATAATTTTATATTGTAATCCGTTATTATTTAATATTTAGTTATTTATTTGAGTTCTATTTAAATGCATTTGACAAGTTTTAAAATAAAAAATAGTCATATGTTTTGTTAATCAGATCGCGAAATCTTGAGAAAAACTTTATTACGACTGCTTATATCAAGTTTTAAATAATTGGGCCTTACCAAATATTTCATGTTCTCATACAACAACATGTAAAATTCGTTATTTCACTTAGAGATCATTACTGTAAGATTTTTCATTAACTATGATTTATTAGCGTTAATTTCGAACAAGGTCTTGTGGTATTATTAGTTCCAGACCTGTACGAAGTGATTTTAGTGTTGTTACCACATAGGCAGAAGTTGTTTGTTTGATATTTTTCAGTTTGATCATTTTTATTGTTACTTTTTATTACCATTTAAAAAATGTATGGGTTACCTATTCTTGAATATTATGGGTTGGTTAATTGGCAACTCTATTAGCAGTTCTATTAATTAAGTATTTAAAGTTTGCAAATAAACCATTCTGAAAGAGTTTTATCATTAGCTTTAAAAAAATACTTACTGCAGTACTGAAGGGATATTAATTGCCAAATAATAAATGGTATTATCTATTATTATAGTATATTATTTTTGTTATGAGTTTTGAACCTATAAAAATATTTTTGTTTTGCAATTAACCACATGCGTAAATGAAAAACACCTTTATCTTTTCTGTAAACTTACATGGTCATTAAAACATGAATAAATTCTTCTACCTTTTTAACAGATTTAAATCTTAATGAGATTTTTACTTTAGCAGCTAGAAGATAATATTTGTCCTATTTTTATATATTAATTTGTGAAATATAATATTATTTCCTAATGATATTTTTATGAATTTCTAATTAATTTGAGTAAATAAACAATTTATGATTTGACCTGCAATATTTTTTTGAAAGCAATATAAATTTTTCATAAAACATCTTTTATATTTTTTGAAATCATCTTGTAATTATCTATGTTTATTGTAATTTTTAAAGATTTTTCTTTATTGTAATTCTATTTGTAACTTTAACATATATAACCTTATGCTATCTAAAAACAATTAAATCATAATGTCAAATCTATTGCTCTTTACTTTATTCTTCAACTTTGACTTTATAATTTTTACTAGCAATATTTTGCTATTTATTTTTTATTATTTTAATTTTTCTTATTAATTGGTAATTGGTACAAAGTTACTTTGATTAGTCAAACTATTATTTATATAAATAAGTTCTCAACTTTTAGAAATTCAATAGAAGAAATTCAATTTTGTCAACTATATAAAATATTCAGATATTCTATAAAATAGGTGAATATTATAAAAAATAAGCTTCACTAATAATTAGTAATTATTGTCACAAATCATTTTTTTTTTTGAATATTAATGGTGAAACCATATCTCTAACTTTATTAAAATTTAATTTAATTCTTCTACAATGAAAAGAAAATCCTTACAAAGAAAAGAATTTATTTAAATTTTATATCCTAAGATAGCAAGAAAAGAAACTCAGACTA